TTTTTTTTTTTTTTTTTTTTTACTCTGTGCCTCACAGCTTGGCCTGTTGTGATCTCTGTCACTTGTGGCCCGTTAGGGGACACTCATTCATAGCCCCTGCCCCAGCTCCTCAATGCAGACTAGCTCCCCCTCTGAGAAAGGTTTACTTTCCCAGAAATTTCATTTGTACATAGCTTTATTAAATCTTGCCTCAACCGAATATGGACTGTTCAGCTCATCCTTGTTCATCCAGGGTTCATCCTTGTCCAATCCAATTTACTTAAGTTTTGTGTTTCATAGATTAAATTCTCAAGAAAAAAATTGATAGGCATAGCTCAGCCCATGGGTTGGGTCCTTTGTTTGGTTCTCATTCTAGTCTAGTCAACTGTTGAGGAGGAAGCATGGTCATGTGTGTAAACCTGACTGTCTAGATAGGTATCTTCTATATAGGCTGTGGGGATGGAAACCAAAAAAGAGATGGAATGGAGGTCAAGGGGCCAGTGGGCCAAGTTCAAGGACACTACTAGATCTGAGAATTAGGACCTAGCTTTCTGTGTAAATAGGAAGGAGTTAAATTCAATCAAAAACAAACCAAACTCTCTGCCATGGAGTCGGATCCAACTCATAACGACCCCTCCTTGGGTTTCTGAGGTGGTATCGCTATGGAAGTAGATTGCCCAATCTTCCTTCTGAGGAGTGGCTGGTGGGTTTGAACCACCAGCCTTCTGGTTAGCAGTCAAATGCCTTAGGCTTTAAGATAGTGATAAAACCAGGCTGAGATAACCAATGTTATACCTGGGCTTGTGGATCATGAACGACTCACAAGAGACAACTACCAGGGTAGACCAGGGATGGTTTTCTAAGACTGGAGGGCAAGGAATGAAAAAGGACAAAATCTGCTTTAGAAATAATCTTTCCATGTGGGCCAAGACCATTTTGGTTTTATTTATTGCTGTTTTCTTAGCACCTAGTACAGTTTCCAACACATAGTAATCACTTACTAATTGCTTATTTAAATGAACCAGATGAATTCATTCATGGACACCTGTGTCTGCAGGTGTGTGTCCATCGAGGTACCATCTACCCTGTGGGCCAGTTCTGGGAGGAAGGCTGTGACGTGTGCACCTGCACCGACATGGAGGATGCTGTGATGGGCCTACATGTGGCCCAGTGCTCCCAGAAGCCCTGTGATGATGGCTGCAGGTCGGTAAGTGGGGCACAGGGGCTGGTACTACAGAGCAGCCAGGGTGGGAAGACAGTAGAGGGGAGGGGCCTTAGGAAGGGACAAGAAAGGCCCTTTGCTAACCTCTGGTTCAAGGCCAGAGGTGAGAGGAAAGAAGGAAATCATACTGGTTAAAGATAAAGAACCTTGAGGAAAAGATTCCTGTGTTATCCTTCTGTGATTCAGTCCTTGGCTTGTGGTCATGTCTGTTGTAAGCTCCAGAGGGCAGCGCAATTGGTTTGAGTAGAGACGTGGAGGGGGTAAAGACAGTTTGATAGTTTCTGCTCTCTTTTCCACCTGCAAACATCCCTTAGCCTATTCCTAGAGCAGATATATGTCCTGAATGTTCTGGGATTGTCCTAGTTTCAGTGCATTATAGTATTTCACATAGATTGGTGATTTTAAAACCATGATTATAGTTTGAGGTACAGAACACATGACCATTGTTCCCCAAATTCTGTTTTTAATTCTCCTTGTGGTCACTTGCTCCTAAAGCTCTCATATATTCTGGGATACTCCATTCTTGCACATTTAAGTCTAATGCATTGAGTTGGATTAAACTCAATGGCAGTTTGAGTTGAGTTTGGTTTTGGTTTTTGGTTTTTGGTTTGTATAAATTTAGAAAATTTTCTTTGAAGGCATGTGACCACCTGAATCACCATTCTTAGACTCTGGAATCAGACTTAATCATGGCACAACTGACTGTATTCTGAAGGACTGAATGCAGTATGTTATATTTTATTTATTCTCATGATACTCCTCTAGAAGGAAGAAGAGGCAGAACTGTTCTTCTCATTTACAGAATATAAAAACAAAGGACTGGCCCAGGGAATGAAGTTGACTACTGCTCTACTGCTCACCTGAAGCCAGTAGAGATTGGAGTATCCTGACTCCTAGCATAAGGCCTGTTCTTTCAGGCTTGTGCAACTGGCAAGACCAGTGTTGCAAGGGCCAGTGTGATCCAGGGGAAGAAGTCTTCAAACTGTGCTCCTCAGCAGATAGATGGATATGAGGGGCCATAGCCCCTTGTCTCCCACCTCCACTTCAGCTATGACAACTACTCTTAAAGAATTGTGCCACTTAGTAAATAAGCATTTTTTTTTTCAGTGGTATATGTCTTCAGGATAGGTGAATATTACATTTACTTAGTTCCATTCTTAACTGGGAAAGCAGTATCTACAGGATGTGGGAGAGGGTAGGGAGAAGGGTCTGAGAAGTATATTTTGAACAATTATAGGCCAGAAAATTGGCAGGAGTAAAGGAAAAGAAAGAGAGATGAAAATGTAGACTGGAACCCTGATATGCAGCAAGCAAGTGGGAATGCTAGAGGTATGGAAGAGAATCTTAGAAAGATGGCAGCTGGAATTTTGGTGGCATGACTATGAGTACCTGAGCATGAGAAGTCTGTGGGGCTTTGGGGTCATCTGGCCTGGGAGTCAACAATGTGGTTGTCCATGCTAGGAGGTAGCAGAAAACAAAGAATTCACAAATCCAGATCACTCAGCACATTCAGAGAGATGTACAAGAGTGATACTATAACTCTAAAGGTATTAATTACTTTCTTCTGTGTTCCCTTGAGTCTTTGTTTCTGACTCCCATGAGACATCATTTTGTATTTTCTGTTTCATAATATGGGATATGTAGATTGTATCACCCTAATTTGTTGACTCTTACATTGTACCTAGGACATCCTAGGTGCACAATAAATGACCTAGAATCTTAGCTGAAAGAGGTTGGGATCAGCTCACTGTGTACCGCTATGACGTGCGTAGGGATATCAGTAGGTCCCATGGAGATGGTATGAAGTTGAATCAAGTCTCTAGAGCTCTCATACTCCCCTAGAGAGAGGTACCAGTTAGACCAAAATTGAGTGTTGTGTGCATCTTCTGATTTGGCCCTGGTTGTGAGTGTGCTTGGGGAGCAGAACGGGCTTGGCATCTACACCCATTCTCAACAGCTGTAGCTCTTGCTTCTTTCTTAAGGGCACAGCTCCAAGATGAAGCATAGTCCTGGGTTCTTTGCCTTGGCTCCTGGGACAACTACACACGTCATTGTTTTGCCTACTGTTTGTGCATTGCTTTAGACTTTTTAATGGAAGGTTTCAATCCAAATCCCTAAAGTTTTGGCCAAATTGGAAGACATTCAAAAGGTGAGATGGGACTGGCAAACTCCAGGATGTTGGTCTCCCTGTCAGGCTTTCTGGGGAAGATTGGTCTCTGTTGCACTCTCATCTCACTTTCCTATATTAAAAATACTGTGCCCCGTAAACTAGTAAGAAGCCAGTCTCTGCACTTTGCTGAGAGGTACTGGGTTCAAAATACTCACCTTATGTAGTTAGTTAGCCCTATTAGAGCAGACATTTTGTCCAGATGCTAGGATAATTCTTTTGTTCCTCATTCCCTAGATATGACCATGATAAAAGTCAGCTTGATTAGCTATTGCTAAGTGAATGTTGGAATGTTCTTAATACTACTGTGGACTGGATCATGGTCTTAACGTAGAAACTTTCAGAGGGCAGGGTTTTGTCTCTCTTGTTGGTATAAGACCTAGCTTGGTGACTCAATGTTTGATGCTTTCTAATTGCTTCTTATCATGAGCTGAGACTGGTTGATGGCAAAGATGAAAATACCCAGTCCAGTTCCTTCTCTGCAAAATCCCAGGACCTTGTACACATGTTTGTGCTGCTGGATTTGTCCTCACTCTCCGTTCTTTCTGTCCAACCAGGGTTTCACTTACATCCTCCATGAAGGCGAGTGCTGTGGAAGGTGCCTGCCATCTGCCTGTGAGGTGGTGACCGGCTCACGGCGGGGAGACTCCCTGTCTTACTGGAAGAGTGTAGGTCTGGGCCCTAGGGTAGATGGGAAAGAGGGCAGTAATCAGCGTGGGAGTCCATGTCTGAAGTCCAGTACTCATCTCAGTTCATTTCTAAATAGGAACATAATCCCTGTCTTTTACTTTCCCCATGGGGAGTTTAATCCACCTGTTGGTGTAATCCACATGTCATCTAAGACTTAATCATGCCCCCTAGCAACTAGATAAGATCGCCTCTGAATTCCTGTTTTGTGAATTTTGGAAGAAGTCTAATTCCCTCCTGAAGATTTTTTTTTTTTTTTTGGGGGGGTGGGGGGAAGATTTCTGTGAAGTGCCAGGAGATTGATGGTCTTTGGTCATCTATGAATCTGAGGTCCTGCTTCCACTGAGTCACTGGTTTCAGCAGGCCTCACCCTCTTGCCTGTGCTGTTGGCCCACAACCCTCTATAGCCCCTAGGCTGCAAGTTCTGTTCCATACCATAATTGACCCAGGCATGGTCCTCAGACTTTTTACTGATTTGTATCACAATGTCCTTGATGATTTTAGGGAGATAGAGAAATGTACAACCCAGAGAAGCAAACAATATTTCTGTTCCTTAAAAGTCCCTCAGCTACTTCTGCAACTCTGGCTGTAGTATCTGGCCATGTGCCCCATCTCCCCAGTCCTGTCTTCTCCTGCCCAGCATCACATCACAGCCAGATCCCAACTCATTTGCTAGTGTAGAATGGCTTAGCTTTTTCTTTTGTGGGCTTCACTCCTGCCCTCCCAGGCCCACAGGTGCTCATATTTATTCAGGATGCTGACCAAACCATTTTTCCTAAACACAAAGGATTCCTTCCTTGGGAATTTTGGTCTGATTCATAAGGATGAAGTGAGGTAGCCCTGGCAGCTTCGGGAGATGGGTGCTGGAAGAGTGGGAGGTGCACATGTGGGCCTTCCTCTTCTGTCTCCTTCAAGTAAGACTGAAATAGACTTTGTTTAGAGCAGAAGGCAAAGGGTTAACTGTCTTGCTCTTGAACCTTCTCTATCCTTTACACAGGCCAGTTGCCTTTCTCCTCCTCAGTGATAACAGAATGACTTACTTAGCTTTTGTCCAGAAGAGTTTCTACCTCCCCAATTCTAACCCAAGTTACTTGTGGATTTCCCTTCCCTGTGTGCCCCCCTTCAGTTTGAGTGCTCCCCTTGTCCTGGACTGAAGCAGGCTTTGTCCTTCTTCCCCAGGGCCAGAGCCCAGCTCAGATCAGAGGCTGATCCATCCTGGTGGGCTCTGAGAACCAGTCCCTTTGAGGTTCAGTATTCCTACCCCCGTGGTCTCTCATCCCACATTAGGGCTCACACAACCCTGTGCCACAGCTTTTATCCCAGCACAAGTGTTTATAAAACATAATGTGAGACTGAGTTTCTCTCTCCCAACTCAAGTCTCCATCTTACCTACAAGACTTGGGTGTCAGCAATGGTTCTGCTGTTGTTGCTGCTGGAATATACCAAAGACCAGAGGGGCTTGTGGGAATAGATGCTTTTAAAGGGCCATCTTAGTGGGTCTCATGGCCAAGACTCATCAAGTAAATAATCAAAGTAGGGAGAGATCAGAGGGTAGACTCAGGCCTGCAGTGGAAAGGCCTGGTCATGGTGAGGTGAGCCAGAGTGGAAGTGAAGAGAGCAGCTACAAGTCTCTGGCATTTTCTGCTCCTCCTCATCTGGAAAATGAAGAAAGTGAACAGAAGCTGAGAGAAGTGAGTCAGGCCCTGAAATGGGTAGGCAGAGTACTCCTATTTACCCGTTTGGATCCTGGTCTAAGACGACACTTGCTATAACACACTTTCCAGACAGAACCTCTGTGGTGACTTTTTGAACCATATTCTTGGCCACTTTCAGTGCTTTACATCTGTGGAGAAAACCCTTGAGACAAGTCTACCCTTCCATAGCCCTGGATACCTCAAGGACATATGGCAGAGCTAGGGGTCAGAGGCCAGCACTCCCAGCCTCTTGTTACTTCCTCATAGGAGTGGGACTTGAAGCCAGACTGGGGAAAGTGTTGACTCTCTCTTTGCATCTCCTTTATGCCAGCCCATGCTATGACTTTCTTGGTCAGTGTGCCCTTGACTCTCTGAGCTTAGCATGACACAATGTTGAGGCTAAAAGAGAGCGTTTCCTGACTTGCTTAAAAGTGGTAGAAGATGGTAGCTATAGAAGAACACATGACTCAGCTAGGATCTTAGTCCTGGTGATTTTGATCCTGACTCACTTCAGGACATGCAATGAGCTCCATTAATTTCTTCTGTGGGCCTTACCTACCTCTTACCCAGAGCTATTGTGTGGTAGGATTTGAGCATTAAGCTGAGACCCACCTCCACTTCTAGGGCACACCTCTAGGACCCAAACCAGCCCCTTGAGAAAACAAAGCACTCCCATTTTGACCTTGGGCCCTGACCTACCCCAGCACATTTGACTAACACAGGTGCTCCACAGGTTGGCTCTCAATGGACCTCTCCGGAGAAGCCCTGTCTCCTCAATGAGTGTGTGCGAGTGAACGAGGAGGTCTTTGTGCAACAGAGGAATGTCTCCTGCCCCCAGCTGGATATCCCCACTTGCCCCGTGGGCTTCCAGCTGAGCTGCAAGATCTCGGAGTGTTGCCCCACCTGTCACTGCGGTAAGGCATGCTGGCCAGAGGTTGGGCTGGGCCTGCTGCTCCACCTTTAAGCCTATCTTCCCCTACTTGCTCCTGAGTTCTTGGCCCCTTTAGCAATCAGGGTGAAGAGCAGGAGCAAAATCTTCTCATCTGTGCCTAATGCTTTTATGAGAAAGCAAACAAAATAAGAAAAATGTAAGAATTTCCTAGAGGTTGCAGTGCTATGCACAGCACTATGCCCAGTGATTTCCTAGAGGTCGCAGTGCTATGCACAGCACTATGCCCAGTGAGGGAGCTCTGGTAGCATAGTGGCTAAAGCACTTGACTGCTAACCAGAAGGCTGTCGGTTCAAACCCACCAGCCACTCCTCGGAAGGAAGGTTGGGCAATCCTACTTCCGTAGTGATACTGCCTCGGAAACCCAAGGAGGGGTCGCTATGAGTCGGGCACATAACAACAACAACAATGCCCAGTGAAGGGATTATACCATTATCTCATGTAAACCTCACAGTGATAAGGGGCTATTACTACCTCCTTTTGTGCAGGTGAAGTTAATGAGTGATAGAGCTAGGATTCAATCTCAGGCTTCCCTTCTCTGATTTTAGAGACCACCTTCTCAATCATATGCTGTGTCACTTCTGATAGGGAAAGTTGTTCCAACTCCCTGCATCACAAACAGCAAAGTGCATGAATAGTAGCCAGAAGGTTGGTGCCACCCAGGGGTACCTCGGAGGACAGGCCTGGTGATCTGCTTCTGAAAGGATATAGCCTTGAAAACCCTATGGAGCAGTTCTATTCTGCACACATGGGGTCACCATGAGTGGGAACGGACTCGATGGCATTAACAACTCCTGCCTGTGAGCAAACAAACAAAATGAAAACCAAGACCAAGTCTCTCCACTAAACTGCCTTGTATTCCTTGTGTGACTTTATCTTGGAATTTAAAATTTAAGAGTAGAACTTTATTCTCATAAACTCAAACATCCTCCCACTTATCCTTTCCTAGAAATTCACTTAAACAAATGCTTTACTGTTGAGAGTGGACAAGGATCTTCTCCCTCAGCAAGTTTGGGGGAAGAAGGCCTCTGGGGCTCTAGCAGCAGTATCCATAAGCTCTGGAGGAAGGGCTGGAGAAGGACAGGCAGATGGAAGAGAGAAGCCAAGAAGGGGAGGAGATGGCCCTGAAGGGAAGCTTCTGGGCCCTGCTCGCAGCCCACACACCTGTTCTTGTCGCAACATGTTCTGCACACTCACACTCTGCACTTATCTCTCTCTCTCAGAGCCCGTGGAGGCCTGTGTGCTCAATGGCACCATCATTGAGGTGAGTGGTGGGACAGAGGTAGGGTGCTGTGTAAAGAGTAGGGTAGCTGGGACCAGCTCATCATTCTAAAGTGAAATGATAGGCCCCTGGGAGACTCCCTTCAGCATACTTTCCATCACTGGCAGGGTCTTAACTTAGTGTCTCCAGGAGCGTCTCTAGGCCTTGGACCCTGCTGTCCAGCACTTACCTCTTGGCACTCATCCTAGGCACGTGGCCATTCCTCTGCATACAGAGAAGCACCCATAAGTTATTGTGTACATTTCAATCTGTCTCCCACTCCCACTGTCATGAAGCCCTCCCTCTCACCATTGCCATACTTGAGGTGGGAGGGCAAGAGAAGAAACAGGAGGAGCATCAGGTAATGGCTCATGGTAGCTACAGGTGGGCAGGTGGATGAAATGAATGGGAGGGTTTAGGGGGTCCGAGAGGGCTGTGGAAACCTGACCCTGGTGCCTCTGTTTCCAGCCTGGGAACAGTCTGATGATCGATGTGTGTACAACTTGCCACTGCACCATCCAGGTGGGGGTCATTTCAGGGTTCAAGCTGGAGTGCAGGAAGACTACCTGTAAAGCCTGCTCACTGGTAAGACAGGGTCAGCTGAGCCTGAGGGAGTCCCTAGGGGGAGGGGACACACAGACTCAACACTTGTGTAACCCAAGCAATGGGACATCCCCTAGGGTCTTTAAATAAACCTTTCATTATTATTTGATGATGGAAAATGTTTGCAACTGTAAAGAAGAAAATAAGTTACTGATCCCTCAGAAATAATTAAAATTTTGTTTTGTAAATTTTAAGCATTTTCTTCCTGTTTTTAATTTTTAATTTTATTGTGATTTGGGTGAAAGTTTACAGAGCAAATTTATTTTTCATATAGCAATTCATACACATTTTGTTTCATGACATTGACTGCAATCCCGACAATATAACAGCTCTCTTCCCACTTCCTCCCTATAGTTACCCTTCCCTGGGTTGTTTCCTGTGCATTCCTGCCCCCTGAGCTATCTCCTTGTGCAAATATTGCCCTTCTGTTCTCCCATGATGATCCCTTTCTGAATGGTTGACAGTGGTAGCCAGGCACCATCTAGTTCTTCTGGTCTCATGATCATATAGGCTGAGGTTTGCATGGTCCACTAGTCCCTTGGATTAAATGTTTCTATGCTTTTTTTTTTTTTTTCATTTTTCTTTGCTCTGAATGAGGAGAGATCAATTGTTGCATTTGGATGGCTGCTTGCAGCCTTTTAAGACCCCAGTTGCTACTCATCAAAGTAGGATGTAGAACAATGTTTTTGTGTAGTACATTATGCCAGTTGAGCTTGATGTTCCCCGTGACCATGGTCCAGAGCCCACAGGTCCAACAACTCCCTCCATCAAGGTGGTTGACTAAGAAGTTATCATAACTTTGCCCCATTTGTTCTATTTATATGGACATTCTTAGAACCATACAAATATGTATGTAGAAATATCATCTGCCAACCTTATGTATGGTCATGATTATATTCCCTTTTGCCTAAACATACCTGATCATTCAGCCAGTCTACCCATCTGTTTACCTATAGATTAATGTTTCTTATCACTGTTAACGCAGTATTGTATATGTAAACATGTTTATCTTTGTTGTCTGTACCTCTAGTACACCTCTCTGTGTCTTCTGTTTGCTTAGTGTTACTGTGTTGGTCACTCAGTTTAGTATATTGCCTTTCCCTTCACCCAATTCAATGCTTGTCTCTAACCTATCTAACAATTTCCCCTCACCTCCACTCCTATCCCTGGTAACCAACAAAGTTTCCTTCCATATATAAACCTTTCCTTGACTTTTTACAATAGTGAACTAATATAATTATTGTTCTTCTGTGATTGACTTATTTCACTCAGCATAATGTCCTCCAAGTTCATCCACATTATGCGGTGTTTCTTGGATTCCACATTATTCTTTAGTGTCGCATAGTATTCCACTGTGTGTATGTACCATAGTTTGGTTATCCATTCTTTCGTTGGTGGACACTTAGGTTGTTTCTATCTCTTTGCTATTGTGAATAGTGCTGCAGTGAACATGGGTGTCCATACATTTGTTTGTGTCCTGACACTCACTTCTTTAGAATATATACATGCTAATGGGATTGCTGGATCAAATGGTACCTCTATTTCTAATTTTTTTAAGGAATTGCCATACCAATTTTCATAGTGATTGTATCATTTTACATTCCTACCAGCAGTATATGAGAGTCACAATCTCTCCATATCCTCGCCAGCATTTGTTGTTTTCTGTTATTAGTGCTGGGGTGAGATGGTATCTCATTGTTGTTTTGTTTTGCATCTCGTTAGCCATTAGAAAGATGCCACTTCATGGCAGTGGGTTTGGTTTTGGTTTGGTTAATGGCTAATGATCACGAACATTTCTTCATGTGTTTGTTGGCTGCCTGAATATCTTCTTTGGTGAAGAGTCTGTTCGTATCTTCTCCCCATTTTTCAATTGGATTGTTTCTCTTTTTGATGTTGAAATGTTGGAGTTTCCTATAAATCTTAGATATAAGTCCCTCAGATATGTTGTTGCCAGATATTTTTTTCCCAATCTGTAGTTTCTCTTTTTACTCTTTTGGAGAAGTCTTTTGATGCACATAAAATTTTAATTTTCAGAAGGTCTCAATTATCTAGTTCATCTTCTGTTTGTGCATTTTGGGTTATACTTGATAGTCTATTTATGCCATAAATTAGGGCTTCTAAGTTTGCCCCTATTTTTTCCTTGATAAACTTTATAGTTTTAGGTTTCATATTTAAGTCTTTGATCCATCTGGAGTTAGTGTGTGAGGTATGGATTTTGTTTCACTTTTCTGCAAATGGATATCCAGTTTTGTCAGCACCAATTCTTAAAGAGACTGTTTGTTCCCCGTTTAATGTATTTTGACCCTTTATCAAAGATCAACTGACCATAGGTTGTTGTATTGTTAATTCCTTTGCTGTTGAGATGTTGGAGTTTTCTATAAATCTTAGAGATAAGTCCCTTGCCAGATATGTAATTATCGACAAATATGAATTTGTTGCTGTCATTTTTGTTATGTGCTTTTTCGTGGTGTTGATTTCTTTGTTCCATGTAATTTTCTATGCTGAGGTCATTATGTTTATGAATCATGTTATCACTTCTTTCATTGCTATTGTTTTAGTATTTGCTAAATACTTGTTCTGGTCCTCTTTTTATTTTGATGTGAAGGTTTATCATTTTTCTTTGAGGTTACCCTGTGATTTATTGTTTTCTTCCCAAGTTTAGAACAGTCCATTCTATCTTGTAGTTGTCTTGACTTCCCTACCATCTAGAAGTTCTGTAACGACAGTTTTTTTCCTCTTTTTGGTTTGTAGTTGTCCTCATTTGTCAATTGATGTCTTTGGTTCCCTGTTTACAATCTTGTAGGCTTATTTACTTTGGATACTTCCATAGCTGGGTTGGGTTCTGGGTTATGTCATCATGTATGTTAATAGTCAGTTGTTGGCTGTTGTTGCTTCTCAGTCCAAAGGGCTCCCTTTAGCAACTCATGTAATGTTGGTCTGGTTTTAACAAATTCCCTTAATTTCTGCTTATCTGGAAATGTCCTAATTTCACCATCATATCTGAGGGACAGTTTTGCTGGGTACATAATTCTTGGTTGGAAATTTTTCTCTTTCAGGGTTTTATATATACCATCCTATTATCTTCTTGCCTGCATAGTTTCTGCTGAGAAATCCAAGCTTAGTCTTATTGGTTGCCCCTTGTAGGTAATTGTTTATTTTTTCCTGTGCTGCTTTCATGATTCTTTCTTTGTCTTTGGTTTTGGTGAGTTTGGTGATGATATGTATTGGTGATTTTGTTCTGGGATCTACCCTGTTTGGGTTCATTGGACTTCTTGGATGGATATATTCTCATCTTTCATCATACCAGGAAAATTCTCTTCCAACAAATCTTTGACTATTTTCTCTGTGGTTTTATTAGTCTCTTCCTGTTCTGGAATTCCGATCACATGTAGGTTATTCCTTTTGATGGTATCCCACATGAACCTTAGGCTTTCTTCATTTTTTTAAATCTTTCTTCTGATTTATCCTTTTCCAAAGAAGTATTCAGGTATTTGCCTTCAATCTCACTGATTCTCTCTTCCATTGATTCAATTCTACTCCTTTGCCCCTTCAATGTTTTATCTATCTGAAAATTTAGTATTAATCTTATGGATTTCTGTGTGTAGATTTTGTATCATTTCTAATTTTTCATTTATTTTGTCATTTTGTTCTTACATTGTCTTTCCAAATTGTTGTAGGGTTTTCTTTGTGTTTTCCTCGATTTTGTCAGTGTTTTCCTTGATCTGCCTCTCAATTCATTGACAATACCTAAACATAATTCTTTTGAATTCCTTATCAGGGAGTTGCAATGCTGTGTCTTCCTCAGGGATGTGTTTTGGGTCTGTATCCTGGTCCCTTGTTTCTCCTGCTTTATCTTGCTTTGTGTGGACTGTGATGCTCTGTTGTCTCTGAGACATTGGGATGTTTTTGTGTTTATACTTAATTTGTGGATTATATGTTGGAGTGATTTGCCCACAATTTTCATTTTTTTTGTTTTGTTTGTATGTTATCTATGTAAGCAGGGTACTGTGCTATGCTCCTCTATTCACTAGTTGATAGCACTTTTACACTCACCACCTGTCTCCTTTCCTGTTTTCAGCCCCTCATACATCCCAGCAGTCCTTGGCAAACAGAGCCTATTCTTAGGCCCCTGGAATCTGAATGAGAATGCTGTATCTTTAAAATCCAAAATGGCTGCCACTTGTAAAGATTCCAAATGGCTGCACCCTCGGTCACTTTAAATATCCAAAATGGCCACTGCTTGTAAACATTCAAAATGGCTGCACCTTCAGACACTTTACATATCCAAAATGGCCACCATTTATAAACATTCAAAATGGCTGCACCCTTGGTCACTTTAAATATCTAAAATGGCTGTCATGTGTAAACAATCAAAATGGCTTCACCCTCTGGACAGCAGAAAGTCCACAGCTCAGGCTGTCTCTCTCTTTGCTGTTTCCCTTCCTAGTCATAGACCACCAACGCAGTCATCCCTGCAGCCCTTGGTGACCAGGGCTGATCTTTAGGTCAATTCTCATGTCCCAACACCACTTGGAAATATTCAGGCTGTTGGTCCCATCAGAGTATCTGACAGTCCACAGCTCCAGTCATCTCCGTACTCACTGTTTTTGTTCAGGTTTTTCCACTAGTTGGTGCCTAATCCACTTCTGTATAGTTCCTTTCAAAGCTCAGGGCTCCAGGATTATTTTCTGTTATCTCTGTCAATTGGTTTCTCTTTTCTTTGTTGAAGAGGGTCTGTGTCACTTGTCTGCCTGTTCCTCCATCTTCAGGAATCCAACTGATTTCTGTATGTTGATCTCGTGTCTTCCTCACTATGCTAAACCTCTCAATTACTTCCAATAGTTTTCATGCTGAGTCTCTTGGGTTTTCTATATATAGGATCATACCATCAACAAATAAGGATAGTTTGACTTCCTCCTTACCAATCTGAATGCCTTTGATATCCCTTTCTTGCCTTTTTCCTCTGGTGAGGACTTCCAATA